GGATCGAAGCCTCCACAAAGGCAGTGAATGCTTACCTCTGAAACTTTTCCTGTGGTAGTATCGTAAGCTCCCTTAGCTGTGTCGGCCATCCAAGAAGCACTCTGAAGATGTACCGTAATCAAAATATTGATTACTGTACATATATTATGTTTATAAAATTTGTTCATTTATTTTTGGGTTGTTTTTGTTGGATAACTGCCATTTATTGATTACTTTGTGACTAAAGGGGAAATTTACAGTTGCTAAAATTTCAAAACAATCTTACCTCGGCAGTTTTTTCAGCGGTGGCATCGTAGGCACCTTTGGCACTGTCCGCTACCCATTTGGCACTCTAAATAAACAAATATATAGAACAGGTGGAATGAATTATGAAAAAATAAAGCTCATTCCTGGGATGAATCTCTCACCGCTTAGGAGGAACCTTTTTACTGCGCCACAAACTTTATTCCTCCTCAAAATGGCGATGACTCTTGGAAGGGTACTTCTTCTCTAATGTGAACTAAGAGGGGTGACCCTGTACCCTGTTTTGGATCCTACCAGGTGGGCTTGACTCCAATAGGTACACACTAGAGCCTGGGTGGCCCGCAGGGCCTGGCGGAGTTCGAGTGGGGATTTATATTTCTCCACTAACGCGCGGGGAATGCTACGGCTTGCCGTTGCATCATCTCCACTACCCAATATAGACGTGTTTTTCTTCTATCAAATGCGAAAACTGCAGGGGGGTTCTAAAGGAGGCGCGTAGCATAGCGCTAGGAGAGGCTATATCGCACCTCTGCTTTATCCGCGCGGGCCATTCTGGCCACTAGTACTGATTTTGATTCGCAGAGGAGTGAAGGGCAACTTCGATATCGGGATGTTCCCCAAGGCCTAGTTTTGTGAACGCTTACAGTCTTGACCGATAGCTGAATTCGTGGTGTCACCCAAGGGGCCGATCAGCCATTTTGAGCGCTCGTTAGAGGGCACATCGAAGTGAGTGAGCCACTGACAGAAATTGGGACTAAGCTTAGGGAGGGGATTGAGCCTGGGAAAGACGGGAGCAACTTTTGTTCTCTCTGGGTTTTCCCCTCTCCTGAGCTCGGTCCTAGTGTCACCTACCAGCGTTTTCAAATGCCCTGTTAAATGTCCTCCTTGAGGCAATGAGCGCCGCCTTTGTGTATTTTCTTTTGACTCCTCACAAAAGAGTCGTCACGCCATGCATTCAACTACTAGCCCGAATCGCAGAGGCATTCAAATGCGCCTTAACCAACGACTTGAGTAATCCTGGAATCGTGGAAACTTAGCAAAAATGGGCAGCCGCTCCCAGTCTGAACATGACGCCAACCCAGATTTTTCTTTTGAATAGCACTAACTTCTTCTGCTTTATGCTCGGCTTGTTCCAAAACGTCACCAATCTGACCAGCCGCAGACGAGACGGTGTCCTTGATGCCTTTCTGTAAATACAGACAGTCTGAGATACCGTATTATTTGCACAAAGACCACAACAAGATTAAAAACTCACGAGGAAACTCATGTTTTCCGTTCCTTTCTCTTGATTAGTAGATACCACCTGAAATCTATTTCATTAGCAAATTTTTAAGGTAAAGGGAAAAGACTGGAAAATTTGGGGGAATTCGATTGTGGCCCGTCCGGTCAAAGTAGGAGGTAGGTATGGAGGAAAAGCATGGAAATAAAGCCGTAATGAAGCGTTGTATGAAATGTGAAGGGCTTATACGGCTATGGAGACAAAATCATCCAGTCCATGATCACAGACAAAACCGAAGTATTGGGACTATTTGAAAAAAGGCATGATGAATTCCTCAAGATACTGTGAATGCGAACTTCCCTTATAGGGAGTACAAAAAGTAAGATAAATGTAAAACAAAATTGAGGCGATTTTTTCAACCAGGCAAGTCCCGCTACCAACCGAGGATTACTTTTGATTGGCGCAAGGTGGCGTAATGCCTCTCGATCTCGCCGCTTGGTCAAAGGCTCGTGTGAGTCTTCTGCAAGGCTGTACGCCTTCAGATAAGCATAGAGTGAATAAACATTTACGGGAGCAGCCCACTGAATGGCATCTGACCAACCAACACTGCTAGTTGGCGCTTCTAGAACGTTAGATAAGGTCACATTGTTTGGAACGAAACAGCGGCCCAAGAGACTTTATACGTACCGCGGCTGACCTGCGTGCGAGGAGACTTTCGCATTCAGAGCGGTGGTAATTCGTTATAGAGCAGGTCGAATACAAGCTATTTTTATTCACCATCTAAACTCAAGCATCGTATGGCACTCCTGAAGGGATTGTAGGCCTGTAGGCTTTCCCCGATCGAAGGCTATTCGGTTTGCGACCTTTCTAAGTGCAGAAGGGAATTGTGGGGGGAGGGGACAGTCAAAGATTAGCGCTGATTTCAAGAGCCACCCCGTCTGTGCTGCGGTTCTTAAAGGAATCTTCCACGGACCATGGACCAGTGGGCGGGACCGGAAGTGGTTTTGCGACGAAATGCATGGTAGGTACGGATCCACGTTCATGGGAAGGTTTGAAGTGAATCCTGTTCACGTTCGTGCGTTCGACACGTGGATCCGTACCTACCATGCATTTCGTCACAAAAACTTCCGGTCCCGCCCACTGGTCCATGGTCCGTGGAAGATTCCTTTAAACCCCGGACGCGCATGGTCGAGGCTTGATCGCCGACGTCTGCAATGCCTAGCTGCCGTCTCGTCGAACGACGCTCACCTAAGTCCGGTGCTCCGGAGCTACGGGACCAGCTCAAAGTTCGCCTGCCGTCTACTGACCTGCCGCCAGCCCGAATCCACTGCGTCCTATTCGTAATGATGACTGAGTAAACCGCTTATCTTATTCTGTTCTGTATTGTACGAAGAACGAGACACAGATGCATCTCTGGCCAACCCAGGGACATGGCTGTATTAGGGGTCCCGGCGTTTCGTGAGACTGATTATCGAGAGTAATCGTACAGGGCATAGCTTCTTTAGCTCAAATCAAAGAACATCTGCTTCCAAAAGTCATTGCGATTTCAAGGGAAAGTAGAGTTCATGGCGCGGTAAAGAGGTTCATCCTAAACTAGCGCTCTATTTTTTCCATCTTAGTGATGTGAATTAGTTGTACGGCTATTTCCTGGTCGACTTACTTACTTATAAGTGTTGTCTTGGTTCTAATGTGTGCCTTTTGCAGACTTAAACCTAAAGACATGCCCCTCAAGTTGGTATGGTTCTTGCACACGAATGCGAATGTATTGGTGCGAAATGGGCCGGCAGTAAAGAAAAAAGGAAAAGAATCCGTCAAAAACGCTTAGGTTAAGGGCTCACTCACCTTCCTAATCGGCTGTGCTAAGGCAATGAGAGACTAAGCGCGGAGAGGAGAGTATGAGGCGAGAGAGCGCAACAGATGAGAGGGCGCCAGACAACAGCCTGATAAAAATTGCAGCTGCAGCAGCTTACTTTGCAAGGCCCAGCGCTCTTGTCGGTTGGTTTCCGTGCACGGGAATGCCACATCTGTGATTGTCCGGATCTGTAGGGTGGACTTCCGGAGGACAGTCCGGAAGTCCACCCTACAGGTCGATGAAAATTGTCCACACGACTTC